CAGTGCGGCCCAGGCCACGCGCTGCCCTGCAGCGCAACAACGCCTCACGGCGGTGTTGCGCTGCCTCAAGTCGGTGGGGGTCGCGGCCGCGGAAGACCCGAACGGCAAGAATTCCGTGCTCGACATGGACCTCGACGACTTGGCTGAGAAGATCCACCACTACGAGGAGCAGGACCGGAAGGCCCTCGACGACTTGGCTGAGAAGATCCACCACTACGAGGAGCAGGACCGGAAGGCCATCTAGACGTCTCAGGGCATCAACGGCGGCAAGGACGGGCAGCCCAAGTCGCAAGCAGCTCCAGGTGACGGCTCGGGCAAGGGGCAGCCTGCCGCCGCCGAGCCCGCCGCCGACCCCAGTGTGGCGGGTGGCCCCGCCAAGGGGGCTCCACCGAATGCCACGGCGAGCAGATCCAGAAGATGGCGGAGGCAATGGGCGCGGCTGCGGATGAGGCGCGGCCGGCCACGGCCCTCGACGCTGATGCTGGGGCTGCTGCTTCGGCCGCCGCAGGCGATTGAGCCTCAGGCGGAGCCGCTGCCGGCAGCCGCGCGACTGCAGAGGAGGCCGCCTCTCGGGGGCAGCGCGGGGGAGAGCCGAGAGCGCCGTCGTGGAGGGGTGGTCCTCGAGATGGAGCTGCGCCGCGGCAGGTTCGATGGCGCGATCCTGGGGCGCCGACTGTGGAAGGGGGCCGGGAGGGCCGCCCCCGTCGAGCAGGGCCCCTGGGGGATGGGCGCGAGCGGCAGGTCTGGCAGGACCTCGGCCGTCTTGGAGGAGGCTGGGCGTGAGCGGGCACTCCAGTCGAGGGTTCAAAGATGTGGTCCTGACGGATGTGGTCCTAAGGGCGAGGCAGAGTTTCAGCCTTCAGCCCACCATTAACCGCCTCCCTCGTCCTTAGGACCACCTCCCTCAGAACCACATCCTTGAGCCCCCGATCCAGGTTTGCGGCCAAACTGGAGGCTCGCGATTCGGAATGGAGGCCCACGTGCGCCAGCTCCCGAGGAGGCGCCGGATGTTACCGCGCAGGTCCGACAGCAGGACGGCGTTGACATTTCCATGCGGACAGGTCAGCAGGGCCAGGGCACTTCCATCCAGGTGGGTCGGCAGCGCGGCAGGGCGGCGCTTGCCCCTGAGATAGCGGATGCTGGATGGGGAATTGCACAGCCATGCCGCAACATCCACAGCGGTGGCACGTCCTGGCGCGCCGAGCCCTACCATGAGGGTGGGGCAGCGCGGCGGCGGGGTTGAGCGAGCCCCTGAGATGACGAACGCCAGGGGGAAACAACGCAGCCCTGCCGTCTCACCATTTTCGATGACGCGGCCAGGCATTCCCATGCGGGTGGGATAGCGCGGCGGCGAAAGTGCGCCAGCCCCTGGGGCAACCGGGGCTTGAGGGGAAAGGCGTCGCCCGGCCGCGGCGCCTGGCCGTCCGGCGCAGCGTGGCACGCCGAAGTCTACCAACGACTCGTGCAAAGCTGACCTTCGGCAGTGTCACGGAGTGGGGGCCTCGAGCCACGGTGCTTCCCGGGGCTCTACCAGAGGGGGCGCGGGGCTTCACGGCCGCCGAGACGCGCGTCGCGGAGGCCGCGCAGGACCAGCGGAAGCAGACGCCGCAGCGAGAAAGGCGGAAACTGGCGGCGGCACTTGATATCCATCCAAGAAGGCCGAATCAGGAAGCAGGGGGGGGGTCGCCGCGCGGGCGCGCCCGACAACGACGACGTTCGATGGCCTGCGCGCTGCCGCCGGCGCCGCAGGCATGGCGTCGCCCTTCGTCGGGTTAGTTGCGACCGCGCTGCTGTTGAAACCGAGGAATTGCATCGCCGCCGGCCCCCGCTCCTTCCCGGGCGCCCCGCTCGCCGCTGGCGTGGACGCAGCGAGGTGGTTCAGAGCGCCGACGAGCCCCCTGGTGTCCGCGGCCGATCCATGGGTGGCGCTGGCGGACTGGAACGGGCCACCTCGCTAGTGCGTTGGGCGGCCAGAGTCGGCGCGAGGAGCTGTGGTCCAGCCGAATGGGCGCGCGATCGCAGGCGACGACGGCCGCGGCAGCATTGCTGGTTGGGGAGTGGCACCCAACGATGCGAGGCGCAGAGTCGAGCTGGAGACCTACGCCCGCGTGCCGTGGAAGACGCGCGCCGAAATCCAGGCTTGTATCATGGGGGCCTCGAAGGCGCGGGAGCATGCGCAGCTGGCAGCGCCGCGATCCCCGCTGGCGCGGGCGCGCCCCGGATGACCCGAAACCCGCGGGGCAAGGGGCCCAGGAAGAAGGGGGGGCGAAGTGCGGAGAGGAATTCACAAAGGAAACGCAGGGCCGACGAACTGCCCAGGGGCATCGAGGGCGACTTCGACACGGCGGCCGACGCGTCGAGCATTATGGGGGCCGACCTGCGCCGGGAGGCGGCGGAGACGGATGCGCCGCGCGCTATCCCGGCGAGGCGATCGCGGCGAGGCGCAGGCAGGAGGCGCAGCTGCCGGCGCATAAGACGAGACCTTGCCGAGCTGAGTTGG